AATCGTTAATCAATATTTTTTCGTTTAGGCTACCCTAAAAATTAAATGAAATTTTATAGAATCACACACTCTTGCGTGTGTGATTTAACAATCCTTTTAAGTTTTTACCCTAAACATCCAGGTTTTTGGGAACAAATTCGAATTTTATTTTCCAATTTAACTTTGAAATTGCAAAATAATATGCTTTTGCAAATGTTTTAAGGTTGCAGGAAACATGTTTAGTCAAAATTGATTCGTTTATAACCTCCCCAAAAAGTGATCACTCTGTACTGAATAAATGTTCTTTAAATTTTATAAAATAACATGCTCATGAGTTTTAGCTCTGGGCATCCAGATTTTTGGGGAAAAGATCAAAATTATGTAACCAATATTTAACAATAATTTAACTTTGCAAAGACCTAATGGTGTGAAATCTTGGAAATATTTTGAGGTTATTGGAAACATGGTATATGGAAGCATCGTAAATCCTTGATCAAATTTATGAGCATTTTTGGACACAAGTGTGTGGTTAATTAATTATTATCAGTCCTCTCCTGCGTTGACGAGACAAAATTAATCAAATTTAATTTTCTTTTAACCGTTGCTGCTTGTAATCTGAACGTTTTAATAGTCAAATTCAATTCTTTCGAAATATAGATATAAACAGTTAAAGTCTCAAAGTTAAGCATGTACTGAGAAATTGAAAATATCTTCATTTTTTCCCGTTGTTTATCTGCTTAAAATATATTTAATATTGTCTACACTTGGAATTTTTGGTTACGTGGGTGTTAATTACGCCACTGCTTCTTACTTTATAGAGATGATCACAAAACGAAACTCGCAAAATCAAATTTTATAATTTTTTAACGAAGCGAAGTTTGTCGGACTATTAAAGTATAAGCAAGGAAAGTTCTGTCAAAATAACCTTGGACGAATTTTTTAGATTTGCTTAAACAGGTGGCTCAAAAAAATTAATGAATTAGTCAATTTTATTGATTAAATCAGGAACGGCTCACTCCATTTTCTCAGAGAATTTTGGGAATACGATACTGTTATTATTAGTATTACACTGCACCAATCCAAGTTGATATACCTCTCCTTGCAAAAATGTTGATGTTGAAATGTTTGCATAACTGTCAGACGAATAAATTCAAAATATGTCAGTTAAAAAATAGAGAGTATTCCAAAACCTTTTCTCACCGACGGAGCTCTTCAACCTGTTGTTATTGTTGTAAAATATTAAATACTATCACCTTGGAAGAAGTGTATTGATTATCTGTTAAGCGAGCAAGCTAAAAGTGTATCTTGAGAATTCTTTCGAGTCGTGCGAGCTGACAAGCGTCTAAAATTAATAAAATCGCAATGAAGTCGCTAAATCTCATTGTCACCGTGTTTTTCATAATCTAGGGACTGAAACGAATTGCTTCTAGTAATAATACGAGAATTCTGCTGCGAGGGAATTCGATGGAATTATTCCGTTATTATGAAGGCTCCCTACTGTTATTAAACACAAAGTAAACTCGTTGATATTCAGAGTTTTCGACGTTTCTGCTATTTGCGTTGAATAATATTTTGATTGTAATAATACAAATTATTGTAAACTGGTTTCTCTTTAATAATTTCACTTCTCCGATGCGGACGTCTCCAGATTCTATTTATGGAAGTTTCCGTATTGTTGAAAGGCAATGATAAGTAAATAAAATAAAGTAACTGTCTTTGTGTGTTGCTGACGACATTTTGGGCTGGAAAAGCATTCAAACAGACGACGTATATCATATTGAAAGATTTTTAACTGTCGTGTAAATATTGAACTATATTTCATCCAAAAAGTTTTTCATTTAATGTCAAGTGCACTAAACTTAAACATAATTAATGCTCTCAGTTTTTATCAGATCAAAAAAAAATCTTATTGTAAACAGTCCCTGCTCGAGCTTAAGTGAATTTACTAAGACTCGAAGCAAGTGTTGTCTAACCAATGACAACGATTGATTCGTTGTTCACTCGTTGATCATGCTCTTTTCTTACTGTATCTGTTCCTAAAAAATAACTTCGGCAATACCAAATTTTGTAATTAAAAGATATCTGAATTGTGGTATTTACGGTTTAGATGACATTCTGGCACTGTAAAAAGTGTAAAGTCACATCTAGTTAGCCATTCAAATTATTTAAAACCTGTACCTAAGTGCTCAGATGCAATTTGAATGGTACAAAGAAATAACTAAATTTAAAATAATACTTTCTGAAAAGAAGATTGTAAATATAAAACGAATAAACCTCGCTGTTTTCTGTGTGAAGAGCACTATACGCTAGCTTCCTTGAAAGCATTATGAAAAGGAAAAGAGGTATAAGAATGCTTAAAAAAGCTTTATATGTTAAACTTTAGTTGTGGCTTGTCGTATTAGCATACTTGAAAAACTTGAAGAACAAAAAAAGAAATTCAAAAATATTTTCTCTTTTTACAAATTCCTTTTTTTTGCATTTAATGTTAAATCTGTGATGTTTATAACCGTGATTCTAAATTTACAGCTTCAGCAGAAACTATTCTCGGTATGAAATTAATAACTCAACGGAACCCGAGGCGAGATTTAAACAATGTCACAGAGAAGTAAATCTTAATAGCCGCAGCGCATACAGATTTTAATTTTTGGTGACCCAGTTTAAGCGCTCGACCTACATCCAGTAATTAGAACTCGTTCTAACAAGACGTTTTTCCCATAAAGTTGTCAACACGACTATCAATTAAGTCCATCATAAAGCCAACAAAAAGCAGCAATTCAACCATTATCTTATCTAGAAAACTCCACTTTGATTAATGAAAATGGCCACCATACACATCCCTAGACGTTTCACCCAACCATTAGCAATTTGAACCGGAAAGTGGCGCTCATTCTTCCCATTCTCCCGTATTTGGTCCTTCGAGATTAACATCTCCTCGTCGAGATGGAAAAAATCACTTTGGAGTATCCATTTTGACTCCGTAATTAGGCGGATTAAATCCGCTTTTCAAGAAGTTCGCAACTCAAATACGGAATTGGTAATGAGGATTTTAAATATGGAGCAATGTTTGCAGAAGCCCGAACATAAATACAAAAATCGCTATATTTGAAATTTAATTTGGCAGAAAAGCTCTTGCGGTAATCCCCAATACAAAAATTGGTCGAGGATTATTTCGACAGAACTTTCCTCGTCCATAGAGTACAACAAATCCAGCTGTTTCGATTTTGCGAATTGTATTTTTTAATTAATTAAAAAACATTTTTAATTGTATCTCTCTTATAGGTTAAAATAAAGATATGATGTTCAAGTAAAGATGAAGAAGCATGCTATGCGTTTTTCAAGTGAGTTTTTCTACTACAAAATTTTGTGATGACCTCATCAACCTTTTTGCAAGAACACGTGTATCAATTTGGATCGAGCAGTGTAAGAATAATAAAGACAGTACTGTATTCCCAAATTTTCGGAAAAATGGAGTGAATCGTTCTTGAATCTTGATTTAATTAATAAAATAATGAAACAATTTAATCACGTCCGCCATGTGTAGTAGTAGAACTGAAAAGCATTTGTCAGTACTTGATTTCTCAAGTTTTCGAATGAATAGTCGAGAAAATATGAAAGTACGAAGTCGCCCGATAGATTTGATTACTTTACTTCCTTAGCTTACCCTCAATAAGTAAAAATGGCCTCTCAGCAATAATAAGAACTTGAAGTGTTTATAGTTATACATCGGAAAAATGTCAATATAAATTACTTTAATTTGAATGAGTTTGTCGCCTCAAAACGGAGGATTAAAATTATTAATTAAACAAGCCACAATCAAACAAAATGTTTTGAATATTATTAATGCAATTCTTATTTAATCATTCTTAAATAAAGACGTGCGTACTCTCACATTTTCGAACTTGATCAATAAAAAATTAGAGAGTGATTAATTTTGTTAAAGTTATTTTATCTCATGAAAAAAATGGGGTAGGGTGATTAGACAGATATATTTTGAAAAAAAAAATTGCCTTGACAATTTTGCATTTCTGATTTAATCCATAAAATGAATTGACTCATTAATGAATTCTTTTGTCTCACCCTGTATAAGTAATTCTAAAAGTATGAAAGCAAGGATAAATGACAAGTATAGACTTATCATGTTCTGCACCTTTTCGGTGGGATTTATTTGGAAAATTTTGAGATAACGCCATTAATTTTTGTGGGGGATAAAAAGACATACATATTAGCCAAATAAAACAATAAAATTGTTATAACTACTTGTGGATTGTATATTAGAATTTACTGAACAAATTGCATTCAAAACTATAGACCTAACTACTTTGAAATTTAAGTACTCCGTAAAGATACGACAATCCTTCCATTCAGATCATTCAGAAAATGTTTATCATCTCAAAATATCCTAGTTATTTAAAAAATTTAAAACGTGTTGAATTATATACTATGTTGATAACAATTGTCGATAAAGAATAACTAACAAAGAGAAAAGTGTTTAAGAAAGTGCACCTAATTATTCAAATTTAATATATTCCTATAAAAACAACGAAAGTTGGTTTGGTTTCTTACCTGTCAAGAAGTTGATCTTGAATATCAAGATAAAATTACGTCTTCATAGTTTACAAACAAACTTAATTTAACTTTCATGTGCAGGGTAAAACACACTTTTATTGGAGTTCAATATTAACCCTTAATTTAAACTTCAGGCATACAGGTTGTCTTAGAAAATAAGTTTGAAGCTTTAAATTTTGCCACAGAATTATTAATTAGACTTCTTATATATGTTACTAAAATATTCCCAAACCAAAAATACCGGAAATAAGGCACTTAAAGACACTAACATTTTTGTTAAGCAAGCTAGACGCGTGTTAATTGCGATTTTCCTCATTATTTTTAATGACTAGCTTCTGAAACTCCGGTACTTAATTATCACACACCCCGCGTAGCTCGCGTAAACGGATTTTATCTGCATTTGCTGAATAGGATTGTGGTGAATTCCTCGACTGAACGCATTCATTTTGTTTCAGGTGACCGTCATCAATGAGACCGACTTGGAAAATGAAATTCCGGAGAATCAGGATCCGGTCACGATGATGTCGATATTGATAGTCGGTAAGGAGATAATATTTTCTCGTGAAAAATACAGGGAGCGGAGAGTTAATGGGGAGAGTTATTAAAACGTTAAGCTCGCAGCAGGCAATTTATATGGTAATTTTTAATATGGAGCCCATGATACAAATCAAACAGCTTGAGGAAATGTGCAAATAGTGTCAACAGTCCTTTTATTAACTTTCGGCGGAACAGACGCAGGATTGAACGGCAGACAAAAATGTCACGCGTAAATCAAACATGTTGGGAACAATGCGAAGCGAAAATAATTGTCTTTTATTGCCATTTAAAAACGGGGGTGCGAAGGTGGAAATTAGTTTTAATTTGTCGAGCTAATTTGACATTTTTATGTCTGCGAAAGTGACAAGATTGTTTTTGCAATTACGGCCTGCAATTAATTGTTAACGAAAAAATATTTTTTTTACTTGTATAAGGCGGAATTCGAGTTAAAGGAAAGTCTCCGGATTAGCTCGTATGTACTGCTTTGAAGTCTTGGGTCACGTCTCACCCAGAAGAAGACATATGTGCAGACCTGACGTGTGTAAGATATGTATGTTTTTACATTACCGGCACTGAAAATTACTGCTCTCATCCTCGCTTGAAAGGATGAGTGTTTTTTTTTAATTTTGTAGTAATTAAAAATAAATTTAATCCCTTCAGGAATAAAGTAAAAATGAATAGATGATACCATAATTAAACCAGCACACATTCGAAACTAATCAAAATCCTTTCAGTGCTAAATACGTTTAAAATATTACTTTAATTAACTGTAATATTAAATAATAATTACTAAAGTCATTAATTTGTGAACTACACGCCTTTGAAAACTATTATTCAAAATTAATTTTTACGACTCGGAGTGCAATAAACTTCTCATGATTAAAAAACTTACTTTAATCTCTTGATGTGTAAAACAGTATATTACACGACCCAAGCAACAAAGAAAGTCATAAAATGTTGCGCTTCTACATTAAGCAAAAATTTTAACGACCCATCTGAATAGAACGTCAGCGTTGTTTACTGGTACAAATGTTGGCAACAATTTTCGTTCTCCGTAACAAAACATTGAAAATGAAATGGGAAAATATATAAAACGGGAATCGGTTGGATGCACCCGAAGCAGAGTTCGGTAGAGACCTGCAAACAGTTGCCCCGAAAACGCACAGAATTCAATTTTGGAGAACGAACTGACGCTGATTCGACCCTTTGCAACCGTCTTGAAAATTTTTATAAATCAGTTTTAAAAATCTGCGCTATAAGAGGCCGTCCCACGTTTCGTTTACGTTCAACAAGTCACAGGAAAATGGCTTTTTTAAATTTTGTGTGCCGTTTTTCGAATTTCAGGTTAAAAACAAAAACTTTGGCTCTTCAGAAAAAAGGGCTTCACGTTTTATTTGTCTTTGAAATGAAAGAATCAGCAGCATTATTTGGGGCTAAACGTACTATGGCTCATGTGAGGACCCGGGTGGGTTAGGTAGCATCGTGCTTCCCTGCTACACCTTGGGTCGTGGGTTCGATTCCCGCCCTGCTCTGGGTGTTTTGTATGTCCCGCCCCCAGTTCCCCTGTAATTGGGTCTCCGGCCTGTAGGGGGACGTAATTCAATGAAAATAAAACAAATGTACAGTTTGGAATCTACTTAAGGAATTGCTACCGCCGTTGGTACAATGAAGATGAAACATAATTTTAAATCGTACACCATCCTTTTATATTTTTGTAAATATCAAAACCAACTAAAATGGTTATTTACTGCACTATGTTAAATTGATATTGACACAAATTTTACTCCTCTTTACTTCCTTAGTTTTACTGCATCGGGCGATTTGCCACTTTCCGTCTGTCGGTCTGTCTAGCGTCGGTGTCGATTTTTATTGGACACGTATTCTCCAACACTACTGAACCGATTGTTGTCAAATTTTGTATGTATATTAGGAACATTATGTGGACGGTCAGCCGCTAACCAAAACTTGGGTAATCATCCCCACCACCAATGAAATTACATTATTTCCAAAATTTACAATAAAATATTTTTTTTAATTTTATTAAGTAAGGTAGGTACTCTTACACTTGAATGAGTCTTTGCTGAATTTTAACTCTAGACATTCAAATTTATGGAAAAAAATAACAATTGCATAACATTTGGCAATTTTACTTCGAATGCTCTGAAAATTTGCAAACGTTTTAAGGTTAACGTAGTCATGGTAAACGTTAATCAAAATTTATTCGTTTATCCTCTCCAAAAAATTGATGACGTCATCTCAAAATACTACCTAATAATTCCTCTCTGAAATAATGAATGAGGCAATTGATTTTATTCAAAAAACCCACTTGAAACAAACGTGTAGCACGTTTTTTTTACATTTACCTTAACACATACATATCCTTAGTTCAACTTATAAGTTTTAAGGGTTATCACTAAAAAATTAAATTCGCATACTCAAATCTGATAATTAACATTCGATAAATTTTTTGATATCACAATTTTTCGTTTTTACTTCCCGAGCGTAAGCAAAGGAAGTATTGTAATCGAGTCCGTCGGCCGACTCTCTACTTGTACGTTTTCTCGATCTTTCATGACCCCTAGAAGACGAAGAAATAGGTCTCCCATTTCCGTCTGTCTGTCCATCTGTCCGTCTCTCCGTCTGTCTGCCGTCCCGGATTTTTATTAGACAGATAATCTCCGAAAGTACTGGACCGATTGTTGTGAAATTTTGTAGTTATATTAGGAATATCATGTAGATGGTAAAACGCTAACCAAAATTTGTCTAATCATCCCCACCACTAATGTGATGACGTCACTTCAAAATTGTACATAGTAAATAGGTTTTAAATTGTATGAAATAATACAGTCCTAAACATGTAGTTTACGACTCCGAATTGAGTTTTTACCCGAAACGTCCAGATTTTTGGAAAAAAAAATCAAAATTATAAAACAACATTTTGCGATTTAATTTTGAATCTGCTAATCCGAATGTTTTGAAATGTTGCAGATGTTTTAAGGCTATAAAGAGCATCATAAATCTTTACTCAAAATATATTTGGCTATCCCCTCCAAAAACTTGATGACACTCAGCTCAAAAGTTTGCCAAATAAATCCTATGTAAAATGTACAAAATATGATGAGTCTGTACTTGTGATATATCACTCCATTCATATTTTTTCGATTTGCATATACAGGGCGACTCAAAAAAAATTAATGAATGCGTAAATGTATTTTACTGATTTACTCAGGAACTACAAAACCGAATGCTTTGAAATCTTAAAGATGTTTTAAAATTATCAAAAGCATGGTAAATTTTTGATCAAAATGTAATTGGTCCTCCCCCCTAAAAAAAATTACGACGTCACCACAAAATTTTGTTGAACAAATTCTATCTAAAATGTACAAAATATGGTGAGTCCCTTCTTGTGATTTATCATTCCATTCAAATTTTTTCGATTTCCATATACAGGGTGACTCAAAAAAATTAATGAATGCGTGAATTCATTTTATTGAGTTAATCAGGAACTACAAAACCGAATGCTTTGAAATCTTGCAGATGTTTTAAGGCTATAAAGAGCATAATAAATGTTTAGTCAAAATATATTTGCTTATCTTCTCCAAAAAATTGATGGCGTCAGCTCGAAACTTTGTCGAATAAATCCTATCTAAACTGTACAAAATATGATGAGTCTGTACTTGTGATTTAACACTCCATTCATAATTTTTGGATTTGCATACACAGGGTGAGTCAAAAAAATTAATGAATGCGTAAATTTATTTTATTGATTTACTCAGGAACTACAAAACCGAATGCTTTGAAATCTTGAAGATGTTTTAAAGTTATCATAAGCATGGTAAGATTTTTATCTAGATGTATTTGCTCATCACCCCTAGAAAAATTATGACGTCACCACAAAATTTTGCTGAATAAATCCTATCTAAAATGTACAAAATATAATGAGTCTCTTCTTGTCATTTATCATTCCATTCATATTTTTTGGATCTGCATATACAGGGTGACCCAAAAAAATTAATGAATGCGTAAATATATTTTATTGATTTAATCAGGTACTACAGAACCGCATGTTTTGAAATCTTGCAAATGTTTTAAGGTTATAAAGAGCATAATAAATTTTTAGTCAAAATATATTTGGTTATCTTCTCCAAAAAACTGATGACGTCAGCTCAAAAGTTTGCCGAATAAATCCTATCTAGAATATACAAAATATGATGAGTCTGTACTTGTAATTTATCATTCCATTCAGATTTTTTGAATTTGCATATACCGGATGATTAACAAAAAATAATGAATGCGTAAATTTATTTTATTGGTTTACAAGAACTACAAAACCGAATGCTTTGAAATCTACTGCAAAAAAAAAACATAATATACTTGCAGTCGTCACGTTTTCGACAGCGAGGGAAGTACTGTCTAAACTCGTTAAACCAAATTTTTCAATGATTGGCTTTCATATTTTTTCGTTTTTTCAACTTTCATTTTTTCAATTTTTCGATATGCAGTTTTCCAATTTTGCAATTTTTCGATGTTACAATTTTTATTTCTCGATTTTTCAGTTTCTCAATTTTTCATTTTTTCATTTCCTTCAATGTTTCAAATTTTCAATCTTTGATTTTTCAAGTTTTCAAATTTGAAATTTTTTGATTTCCAATTATCCGATTTTCCGATTTCTTTTTTCAATATTTCGTTTTTCCGATTTTGCAGTTTTTTTTATAAACTTGCTATTTTTGTATTTTTTTTCGAAAATTTGAAAAATCGATAAAATGAACAATTGAAAAATTAAAAACCCAAAAATTATGAAATCGAAAAATTTATAGAACCGCCAAAATTGTAAAGTCGAAAAACTGTAACATTGAAAGATCGAATATTGAAAAATTAAAAATCGAAAATAATTGAAAAATGTAAAAATTCTAAAATCGTACATTTTTAAAAAGCGAAATTTTATTTAAATTATTGTTATTATTACAAAATTAAGATGACAACTAGAAAAATTTCAAATCAATAATTGAAGAAATCAAAAATTGAAAAATCAAACTGAAAAATCTAAAAAAGAAAACCGAAAAATTAAAGAATCTAAAAGTTGAAAATAGAAATAGAAAAATGAAAAATTTGTAAACGAAAATTGAAAGAGTTGCATATCATAAATTAAAAAAAAAATTGGTCATTTGGACAAAACTTCCCTCGCTCCTGAAGTACAATGAAACATATCCAGCATTTTCGAGTTGAGTTTTTTCTTTACACAATTTTGTGACGACGTCATCAACATTTTTGCAAGAACACGTACATCAACTTGGATTGGTGCAATGTACAGAATTGTATTCCCAAAATTTTTTGGGAAAATGGATTTGATCAGTAAAATAAATTGTCCCACTCATAATTTTTTTTGAGCCACCTGTTCAAGCAAATCTAAAAAATATGAAAGCAATGATAAATCACAAGCAAAAACTCATCATATTTTGCAAATTTTGGGTAGAATTTATTTGGCAAAATTTTGAGATGACATCATCAATTTTTTGGGGGGAATAAGCAGATAGATTTTGATTAACAATTTACCATGCATGCGATAACTTTAAAACGTCTGGAAGATTTCGACGTATTCAGTTTTGGAATTCTTGATTTATTCAATAAAATAAATTGACTGATTCATTAATGTTTCTTAGTAATCCTGTATAAGCAAATCTAAAAAATGAGGTTCTTAAAAAAATGGCCGAAAGCTATAAGTATAATCCGACTGATCCAGCACTTTAAAAAATTTTAAAATTTGGTTTTACGGGTTTTCGTTTTGTGATTACCCGCAAAGTAAAAACCAGAGACATAAGTAACACCCCTTGTCCTTCAACACTAGGTAATAGCCTGCAATCTAAAGCTCAAGTTTTATTTATGTTTATACACCGATAGAATGTCACATAGAACTTTAGTTTGATTTGAATGAGTTTATCTTCTCAAAACGGTACTAAAATTATTAGTTAAACCACAATCGAATAAAATGTTTTGAATATGATAATTTTTATTTTATCATTACTATGTAAAGACGTGCGTATTCTTCACGTTTTCGAGAAAATGGGGTGACTTCGTTCTTAATTTGATCCATAAAAAATTTATGATGACGTCATCAACATGGATAATTCTAGTCACAGCATAAAAGAAAGGTAGTCACAACGTCATATCAATGCAAGAAAAAAAAAAGAAAGGGCCAGTTTCGGCATCAAACCACAATCGCAGTACCGCAGGTCGCCATTATCTTCGATATACCCACTGCGCTACGGAGACGTTCAAACCGTATCGGGAATAAAACGTTATTATACCTTGCAAATGTTTTTAGGAAAATGTGAACGTTTAGCGAAAAAACTGAAACTGGATTGGTACACTACAAGTATATGAATAAATTTTTGTGTACTATTCAAATCATTTTAAAATACCGTTCATTGAAATTGCGTCATCAAATTGTTAATGGGGATGATTAGCCAAATTTTGGTTTCATTTAACCATCTACATGATATTTTTAATATATGTACATACAAAATTTGATAACAATCGGTCTAATAAAAATAGATACAGACAGACAGACAGACACAGAGACGGAAACGGGAGACTACTTTTATCGTACTGTGGGGGTCATGAAACGTCGAGAAAACATAAAAGTGGTCATTCGTCCGATGGACTCGATTACAATACTCCTTCGCTTACGCTTGGAAAGTAAAAAATAAAAAATTGAAAAATTGCAAGTAGAAAAATTGAAGAAACGAAAAATTGAAAAAAATTACAATTAAAAAAAAACAAAAAATTATGAAAACGAAACATTGAAAAATGGAATATTTGAAAAAATAAAGAAAATAAAATCCCAAAACTAAAAATTGCAAATCGAAAAATCTAATATAAATGAAGAATGCAAAAATTGGAAAAATTAAAAATCTAGAAACGCAAGAAACGAAAAATTCTAACATTGAAAAACTAAAAATCGAAAAACTTGTGAATCGAAATATTGGAACGAAGAAAAAGTGAATCGTATCGTCAAATTGGAAAACCCAGAAAATGTAAAATCTAAAGATTATAGAATCGTCAAAATTGTACAGTCGAAAACCTGTAACATCGAAAGATCGAAAATTCAAAAATTAAAAATCGAAAAATCCAATACATAAAAAAGTTTTAAAATCTAATCATTGAAAAATGCAAAAATTCTAACATTGTAATATTGAAAAAGTGAAATTTAAAAATTAGAAAAATTGCAAATCAAAAATTGAAGAAACTGAAAAATCTATAATCGAAAAAACGAAAAATTAAAGAATTTAAAAGTTTAAAAGTTTAAAAATCGAAAAATCGAAAATCTAAAATCGAAAAATGGCTAAATCTAAAAAGTGAAACATCGAAAATTGGGAAAATAGAAAAATATTGTAAAGCTGAAGAAAGAAAAAGTGAAAAATTGAAAAATTGCAAGTGGAAAAATTGAAGAAACGAATAATTGAAAAAAAATGAGTTTGAATAGACAACAAAATAAAAACGAAGCATTGAAAAACCGAATATTTGAAAAAATAAAGATAATAAAATCCCGAAACGAAAAATTGCAAAATGTAATAAATGAAAAATTCAAAAGTTGGAAAATTGAAACTGAAAAATTTTAAAATGGAAAACTCATAAAGTTGCAAATCGATAAACTGCAAAAACAGAAAAATAATTGAAACTATGAAAAATTGTAATCCAAAAAGCTGCGGGAGTGTTATTTACGTGACTGGTTTCAACTTTTTAGAGGTTATCAGAAAACAAAAATCGCAAAAAAATTATCGGATTTGGTGGGCTGCACTTCACAGGCGAGGATAAATTTCATCGAAATAACCTTCGACCAAGTTTTTCGCGAACTAATACCGAGAGAGCAATAACAACACGATCAAAGGCAGCAACGAATTTTTGTAAATACGTCTTTGATCGTTGCATTTTCGACTCAAACTTTCAACGGTATTTTGACAAGATGAAAATTGTGTCGAGAACAAATTTTCAAACATCCATGGTTGTCTTTAATGGTGTTTTTTTGCTCTCTCTACACAAAATAGGCATTTGTGTTTTATAAAATATGTTCCCATTCACGTCAAACAATCTTTAGCACCTCGTAGTCGCCGTAATAATGGATTGTGTTCACCTAGAACTAAATCGTAATTATAATGGTTATTTAAGCAAATACTTATCTGTGAATATGGAGCTTTTCAGTTCAAACACGTTAATATTCCTGCACCAGCGATAAGTTCAACCCGTTGTGGCTTTTTTGGACTAAACTCGTTTAAAATACTGAAATATGGATATTAACGAGTTCGAGTTACTCACCATACATAAACGATAGTTTAAAAGTTCAGAAAATATACCTTACATGTAGAAAAATTTCAATTTATGTCGCATAAAACGCCTTTTCAGTACAGAAAATTTCTTTCTCGTTTTCAGGTACATTCCTTTCGTTGCTCATCTTCCTGTCCGTCGCAGGCAACATCCTCGTCTGTGTGGCCATCTACACCGACCGCGGCCTCCGACGCATCGGCAACCTCTTCCTCGCCTCCCTGGCCATCGCCGACCTCTTCGTCGCCTCCCTGGTGATGACCTTCGCCGGCGTGAACGACATCCTCGGCTACTGGGTCTTCGGTGCCCAGTTCTGCGACACGTGGGTGGCCTTCGACGTGATGTGTTCGACAGCGAGCATATTAAACTTGTGCGCTATATCACTAGATAGATACATTCATATTAAAGACCCCCTGAGGTAAAGGGCTGCTTATCGTGTGGCATGCATGCATATAAATAAATTTATTATGCGGACGCATTGTGACGCGAAATTTTTCGCCGAAAACCCATTTCGGCGACGAATGGGAACGGGATTTATGTTTATATTCAATATAAACACAAAGAGATGCGTACTTTGGATATTGAGATGTGCCGCGATGGGTGGATTACATTAAAATCGGGTTCAAGAGTTGCCGCGTAGATGGAGAGAGGGAAATATGGAGAGCTTGCATTGCTGTGGAGGAGATGATTTTTACTTTATGGGATAAAAGCGAGCGCTGGGGTTTCGAGATTTAGACTTTTAGAGGGCAGGTAGAACGGGGTAATTGTGAATGTTCGACACGAGAATTTCGCTGAAAATGTTTTAACTTTGGCAGGTTGGGGAGACGGGTTTGTGCAGTATGCAAAAGATAGAACCGGCGCATCCACCTTAATTTCTAACGAAAAGAATAAATGGAGCATACTGAACTTGAAACAAAACTTAAAAATATTGAAAAAAATATAATCTAAATGGTGTGCAACAATTTTGTTTTCGTTTTTCTGCCGAAAATAGCCAGACCACGTAAAACGTACAATCTTCACAAAGTGCTTTTCCCTTCTTGGTCTCAATGTAATGTTCCTTTTACCGCCGTTTAATAAAATTAAAAACATCCACAACTGAGTTGAGGTTTACCAGAGCTTATTGAGGACAAGCTCCTTATAGTTTAAAGATCAATGCAGTTTAAAAAAGCCATTAGACGATTGTATTTACCAATATCCGTATTTTCCTTGACTTATAAGTATGCTTTTATCATTGAATAATGGAAGTATAAGTTTATAATTTATAATGCTTTGATAATACATTTTCACTTTATTAAATCTACAGCAATTTGAGAAAGTTTCATAGATTTTTTAAGTGATGGACTAATGTTTAATTTATTACCACAAAGAAATCAGCCTCTTATACACCCTGATTTCGAAATGTGCGCAATAAATACTGCCTTGTGTAAAGTTCACGTTCCTAAATGGTAGCAATGTCTAGAAAAAATTATTTCAAATTAAATATAAATTGGTATACGCTACTGGTAGTGTTAATTGTCCAACCATAAATAGTATTCAACGAATAGCACAGAACGATTAGGACTAAAAACCAAAAAAGCAGCGCACTGATAAGCAACGTGCAAAAACACGGCAACGGCCAGTCATGTATCAGTTGGTTGCCGTCGTGTGTTTGGTTAACATCTTTGACAATGGTGAATTTTTCCAATTCAGAGCGTGTCGACATGGTAAAGCTTTATGGTGTGGTTGATGGAAACGCCAGGTTGTCCCGCGAACTGTGGATCGAGTGCTTTCCAAATCCCGCGATTTCGTGTGCGCGAACATTCACATCTCCAAGATCATGGTACCTTCAAGCCTCAAACTGACGATTGTGGCCGTGATAGGACCGAAAGAATACTGCAAACTGAAGAACAAATTTTGGAACGCGTTGAAGAAGAACCCGACATCAGCACTAACCGACTTGCAGCTAAAGTTTCACAGTTGTAGTGCATCGTACATTAAAAGAACAAGGCCTACATTTCATACCACGTTCAAAAAGCGCAGCTTTGGAGCCCGCTGATTTTCCACGTCGTATAATTTACTACGAATGGTTGTTACAATGTCGTGAACCCCCTAACTTTTAAATGTCATTCTGTTTACGGATGAAACAGGATTCACTCGCAATGCTGTTTTCAACAGCCCCAAAACTCACATTTGCTCCGATCAAATTCCACACGCTCCTCAAGAAGTACGATTTCAAAGACCGTTTCTATAAGTTTTACTAGAGAGATTAAATGCGGTACAGTACCTCGAGTTTTTAAACAATGTGTTGGAAGAGCAGCTAGATGTGGAAGTGCTTGTAGGTGAACAAGTTCATATGTGGTGCTTGCATGATGGACCACTACCACATTTTGCTAGGCCAGTACTGAATGGTTAAATAACGTTTTTCTTACCAGTGGGTCGATAGAAGCGGTCCAGTAGCTTAGCCTCTGCGTTCACCCGATCTCAGTCTGTGTGTTTTTTGTCTGTGGGGTTGGATGAAATAGTTAGTTTATGGAAATCAGCAGTGTCCAGAAACAATCGAAGAGCTTCAACTAGTGGAAGTGGCAGCCGCTACAGTTCGTGGAACTCCCGGAGTTTTGTATGCGAAAGTTGACTACCACGATGAGATGACGGGAGACGTATTTTTTGAGTGGCTGTTCACTAAACTTCTTCCAAATTTGTCAGCGAACAGCGTAATTGTAATAGATAATGGTTATCCATCCATCCGTCCAACCAACAAAAATTCCAAATTATGGATGGAGAAAAGAAGAAATTAAGAAGTTTTTTGAAGAAAATGATTTATAACACGAAGACCACTATCACAGAAAACAACTTCTAGCAGTTTTTCACACAAAGCTATTTAACGAAAGCTATGTCATCGACGAGGAGGCTGTGAGACACGGTGATTATGTCCTGCGGTTACCCCCTTATGACTGCGAGCTTAGCCCGATTGAAATGATATGGTCCCTATTAAAATCAAGAGTACGTCGAAATAACAACAATCCAAAATTAAGTGCCAGTGCCAGTAGACACAATTGGTCAAAATGAGTGGTTTAATTGCGTTAAAAAAGTCGTTTCAATAGAAGAAGAATACAGGAAACGATATAAAAATCTTATACATTTACGAAATAAGCCTTAGAAATTTCACAGAATACAGCATTCTGACCTGCGGTGCGGGGCTTTGAAACATTTCTATCCCGCTGACAGTGCAATAAAATTATCTAACGCTGTGTCCAAATATCTTTAGACACACTTTACCTGAAAACTATCAGCCCACCAGGTAAACGGACATTACTCTTTAATTACTGCCGCTGATAGACCTATTTTAAAATCTTTAATTCGAAACCACATGAAAATGAACACGACAAGTAAAAAACATAAAACAGAGAATACAGCATGTAATTAAAACAAAAATGTAAAATAAAAGAAGTGTAAAAACAAAAGTATACAGGCGATCAAAAAATTATGGATGAGCTCGATGGTACGTTGTTAAGAAGGCTCCGAAGAACTCTAAAAAAAATTCTTAAAAAACCCCTGAACTAAACTTTTGGAAACTCTATACTTCAAAATTGAAAAATTAACTCGATGATTCTGATTTATTTTAATAATGAACTACATGCCTAATAATTAGTTACTAAAATTTTAATAGTAATCTGCTAAAACACGATCCACGACGTTATTTTTTACTGTCGACATATGTCATTTTTGACTATTTTTATCAGAATTACGAAGTTAATTCTTCGACTTTGAAGATCAATATTTTCAAAAATTTGAGTTCAAGGATTTTTTAACCATATTTTTCGAGGTCTTCAACTTATATGTCATTTTTTGGTCACCTGTATATAAACAAAAACATAATAAGACGAAAATATAAAACAAAATAGTGCTCTTTTTTTTTCATAGTTTCGGATATCATGTATATATGTATTTACTGAGGAATTTATCCTAATGAGATAATTATAAAATTATATAAAAATTATATAAAAATGTATATGCATTTGTTGGACAAAAATCAAAATTAACGAACATAACTCCTATTTTTGAAAAAGAAATTATGCAAAACATTTGTTCCATATAATAATACGTTTGTGAATATATTTTGGTCACTTATTTCCTTTTTGGTATTTTTTACTAGTTAACAATTTCACAAAAATGTCTTGTCTAAAAATACTGTACAAGTGTTGAAATCAGGTAAACGATGAGAATATATAAACGTGTTAAATTTGAGTCACCTGTACTCCGACCTGGACGACTTGCCAGTTTCATAATTTCTCGACGTTTGATGACTTCTAGATTACGAAAAAAGTGGTCTCCCGTTTTCGTCGGTTTGTCGTCTGTCTGTCCGTCTGTCTATGTTTGTCTGTTTTTATTAGACAGACAACAATGCGATGACGTCACCTGAAAATTATACACAGTGAATGGGTTTTAAATTGTGTAAAGGAATATAAAAAAACAAACAAGTACCTATGTAATAATTTGCTTTGTAACCTATTCGTAAATAATTTTAAATTATACCCCCAATGAATTCTGTCATCTGCGTTGGTATTTTTTCAATGATTTACGCTGAATGACGCCTGATCTTTAGGACACTCTATATACGTAGCCAGCGTGAACACGTGTTTAAAAATTCAGAACGTTGTTAATGTTATTATGTACGCAACAAGTGTAAAAACTGAGTAATTTTGCTCGAGGCGTGAAAATTATCCACCGAGACGTGAACAACGCACAGAAAGTAAAATGATGAGCTTTACACTAATTAAATACATATTGCGTTTTTTGAACTGACGATGTAAAATTTATGTAAAAATTATAATCAAGTTAATTTCCATCGAATCAGTGCCGAGCATTGCGGTTGCTAGGAAAGAAAAAAATACGACCGTCGTTTCCTGCTCGTTGTGCTTTGGTATTTAAAAAATTGAAGTGTAATTTAAAGTAAGTAAATTATCTACTTCTAACTGAATTGCTTAAATAATCAATAAAGAGTATAAATTTTTAAAGGGTAATTTTGGCCACTGTATTGCAAAATAAATATCATGTAAGTTAGACGAAACCTTATGCTGCACGTGTGACTTTTATCATAGTTAATATAGCAATCAATCAACAAGTTTTAGTGAGTTTAGTTTAGAGGAACGGGACACCTACTACATACAAAAACTTCCTGGCGGAATTGGACATTTAATGTATTTCACTTTCATGTGATGTGTTGCATTATTTTTTTAACTCAAAATTTATAGTCACGCCTGTTTTTGAATACTTAAATAAACTTGAGAATAAACATTAACAGAAAAATAATTGATGTAAGTGTATCAGGATATGTTACGAAATTTAAACAAAAAATACTTCAACAAAATACAACGAGACAAAGTGCTCACAATCAGCATAAACAACTTCAAAAGTATACGGAACTAACTAATATCACCG